TACCTGGGTTGTTAGGAAATAAGGCAGGAGCGGAGGCTTGACAAGGGAGCGCGTGCTGGGCCTCACCTGCATCCTCCCTTGGTGAAATGAGCTAACAAGGCATGGAAAGTTATCTCAGGTGCAGGAGAGGAGCGACTGAAATGTGTTCCTGGGATCGCTGGGTGACAGTGACTAGTGACTGGAGCCGTGGTTCCCAGGCCAGCGCCCACCCCACTTCCCAAGGCAACACTGCCGCTATCACCCAGCACAGCCAAACCGCATGCTCATCTTTTATGCAGATCTGACCTATACGTGAGCCAAAAAGGCTTCAAACCAAAAACAGATGTTTAAACTCCCCTATAAATCAGATCCAGACACATCTGCAGGCTCAATTAGCCTTTTGTGAATGCTCTAAAAGCTGTGTCTTATCACTGGGTTGGCATTTGACACTCTTCTATAATAAGAGGCACTACAGAACTAGGATTCAGTGCTAGAATATGGGGTTCCCTCGGCCCTCCAGCCCAGGCCACCTCGTGAGACCCTGGCACGGTTCTGCCTCCCTTGTCCCACAGAGCTGAGGGCTGAGGTGACCAGGAAAGCTAAAAGAACCCCTCAGTACTCCAAATACAAAGTTGAGAAAGGAGTCTAGCCGATACACACTGCCTTGCGGTCAGTGCTCAGGCTGACGTTGTAGGTGCCGTGAAGTGGGCGGAGGGTGCGCCCAAGAGGCCCAGGCCCCATCTGCTGAGGCAGCTGCTTGTGCCAGAACCCCGCCAGGCCAATATCAGCTGGCAACACACACAGGACAATCAAACCCACACATGGCTACGTCCGGCAAACTGAGTGACCAAGGGGAGCCGGGCAGAGGAGGTAGCTGTGGGGTGAGGCTCGGGACAACACAGATCACTCTGGCTGGAGCTAAGGAGCCAACAAGAAAGATGGAAAGGAGAAAAGGCTGAAGATGTAGACAGACCATAACCAAAAGAACCTGGAACCTCACTGCAATCATGGGAGTGGGGAATTATCACTGGTGCCTCAAGAAGACACAGTCGTCATCTACAACATATGAAATCCTGGTACCAGGTGGTCAGCGTGCGTGGGCAGGTATTTGAGGCCTCCTCAAAGGCCCTCCCTTCTGTCTACCCACCCATGGGTGTTAGCAGGCTACTGCGGGACACATACAGAAAATACAAGCAAGATGACCTCAGAGCCGAGCCCGCCCTCTATTCCCGGAGTGTCCTGACAGGACTCCAGGCTGCCACAGCACATGAGGCCATTGACCACCAGTGACAACCAGAGCAGGGACAGTAGCTCCGGTGAGGATCGAAAGGCTGCACCTCTCTAGTCACGCTCATCAGCTTGTCCCGCCCTCTCGCCCAGTTCCAAACTTGCACCTTCTCATAGGCCCAGCCGAGCTAAGGTGTCTGTGATGAAATTCTCCACTTGGAGGCCAAATCCTGGTTTCAGCGGCTGCACTGAAGTGGTTTCTTTAATGCTAATGTTACTTCAATGCCAACATATTCTGTTACTGATTTGTGATTTAAATCCAGGGTTTCTAACCTAAATCACATGTTTTAAGAAAAACCACAACCATAAAGTTCTCTAATCACATCCCGGCCTCCTCTTTATTCCCCATCAACGAGATGCAGGGATTAGTCTCAGAAAGCCCACAGACTCTCCATTTCCCTACCTCTAACTCAACCATTACTCCACCTCGTCACCCTGCCGGGTGTGGGTCCTATCACACCCCTTTCAGATGAAGAAACCAAGACCCTGAGCGGTCTTAAGGTGCCCTGCCTCAGGTCACAGGCCTGTAAGGCTCCATAAACCCCAGCCCGGCGCTGCCCACAGACATGTCTCCATGGGGAACGGTACGGAGGGCACCGTGACTCCCGGCAGGAGACGACACGCTCTGCCGAAGTCCAAGCAGCCATTCACACTCTGAATGGGAATCGTCCAGCTGTCTTCTCTCAGCTGTGCAGTCCGCACATACTCTGCCCCGAGGCCACTGTCCTTCTCAGTAGCCACTCACAGAAGGTCAACTACAGGAAGCTGAAGACCACCTTCTTCCGCACACAGGCTTGCCATCGGGGGCCCTGCTGCAACATCAGCTACCACAGTCTGTGCTCTGGCCGGAAAGCAGGGGAGTCGTGATGAGACTACTCCAGACACTGGCTCCTTAGACGAGAACGTAGTTCTAATACTTTATTTTAATAAAAGACACCTAATCACTCCATTAGGATGATAAACACCATTTGTGTGGGATGAACGTGATGCTGGTAGACTGTCAGACAACAAGACATCTGATTATTTGCAGCAATTTCCCATCTGCCACCGTAAACAAAGGAACCAAGAGCCAGCCATGGATCAGGACTGGTTAGAGTTGACAGCCAGGCTCACAGACTAACTTGCTTCCCACCAAACTGACAAACTTGTGCACAGGAAAACAACACGGGCATCTGGACACAGCGGAATCTCCATTTCCCAGAAAACCTATTCTCCCCGGATTCGTCAGGGGAGTTGGGAGGTACTGCCATAGGGAGATGCTGGAAATGACCACTCACAGGAGGCCAGAGAGTGAATGGCTTACACAGGGTTAGGAGGAGGCCAATGACATGGTTGCCACTACTGGTCAACTTTCAGTGAAACCCTTACTGTTTCTCATCCCTAATAGGAAACAAACTTTGGAAACCAAGCACACCAAAAAATAATATCCTAGAAGGAAAATCAAATATAAATTGGCAACTGACAAAAGGAATATAAGTGGCCTATAAACACATGAAAAGATGCTCATCAGAGCAAATTAAAATATTCTCCGCCACCTCAAACCCCTCTAATGGAGGTAAGAAATCCCGGGCTGAGAGGCTATGACAGGGAACAGGGACAAACTCAGAAAAGCTAGCTCTCAAAGGCTGTCGGCCACCTAGCAGAGAGGAGGTGCTGTGCAGGCGCCCTCCCAGCATCGTTGCCCCCAGCCCTGCCCCAAGCCGCCCCGGTGGGGGCTGGCGTACTCACCAAATGCAGTCAGCACCAGTGTGTAAGTAGTCAATGTAGGGAAGGTGGTTTTGGTCTCGAGACCAGCATGAGGTAGAAAAGACCATGCCAATATTTAGCCAGGGAATTGTCACTCCTAAAACACAAAGGGAGAAGACAGTATTCTAAACAATGGCAGTGATGTCTGAGAGCAACGGCCATTAGAAATCGCTTTCTTCTCCCCAAGTAAGAACAGGAAGGAAGAAATGAATTCAAACCCAGACAGACAAAATCCAGTGAGAAGGTACCTGCTCTTTCTTGCTTGCCACACAGAAGCAAAGCCAAAGATGGACACTTATGAACTAGTAAAAGAGCATCTGAATTAGTGAGTTGGGCAGCAGGAAGCCCCAAGGAACGGGACCTTGATGACTACTAGCAAGTAACCAGCAGCCATGGGCCTCGAGGCTGAGAAGAGAGGTGCTAAACCTATACTCCTGTGATGCTGGAGGCAGGAAGTACAAAGCTCCTTTGTTTGGAGGCCTTGAGTAATGGCCTCCGCAAAGTGTGGAGGGTCCCAGCCTTCTCCAGGGGGCCCAGCCTTCAGCAACCACGACCCCAGGATACCTGGCTTTCCCCAAGATCTACACAGAATCAGTCTATCACTCACAAGCCTACAGCAGACCTAAGGAGTCAGGACTGTAGCTTTGAAAACACCACTTTCAAGGTGAAAAGTTGGCCACTAAGCATCTTTTCAGCCTCTAGATACTGCTATTTGATTTACTCTTCCACATTTTTATGCACTTCAATTATAATCTTATTCTCTCTTTTTTCTACAAATCAATGGTTTGCTTTCCATATATATACTCTACACCGTACTATCCCCTGTCCGTTTCCAGTTGTGCTTAAACAGAACTGCCCAGCTCCATTCTTCAAGCTGCAGAGGCTGGGGCCTTGGGACCCTAGAGACAGCAGCTGTGTCACACATACCAGGCACAGCACCGAGGTGACGCAGGATGGACCCTGTGTTATTGGGGAGGACGGTAAGGTTCCATCCATGCCTGCAGAGGAAAGAAGAGGGATGTCACAGACTCGTAGGGAGGGTCACCACCTAGCCCCCAGAACATGCATAAGGGACTCCAACTTCACCTTGAAAATGGTTCTGATTTTCCTACTGGGAATCCGCTGCCGTGAGTGTTGGTGTCCACTTTGCCGCAGTGCACTGCCACGTGGCAGTCCTTCTCTTCTACTAACCTCCAGTACTCTTGCTGTGAGGAAGAGGAAAGGAACAGTTACCACCTCCACTGTGCCTGAGCCACAGAGCACAGTTTGACCTAACAACACAGGGACACTAATGCACGGTGTAGGAGCCCATCGCAGACCGGCCTCCAAGAGAGCACTGAGTAGAAAAGCCATGGAATCACCTCTGCAGGTAGATCCAACAGAACTGAAGGCAGGGGCTCCAACAGGTATCTGCACACCCACAGTCACAGCAGCATTATTCACAACAGCTAAAACATGGAAGCAACCATGTCCACTGATAGAAGGATGGATAAGCCAAGGGTGGAATCCTCTGTACAATGGAATACTGTTTAGTCTTCAAAGGGGAAAAATTCTAACACATGGATGAACCTTGAGGACATAATGCTAAAAGGACATAATGCTAAGTGGATTAAGCCAGACAAAAAAAGGCAAATACTTTGTTTCCACTTATATGAAGTATCTAGTGTAGTAATAGAGTATGAAAGTAGAAGGGGGGTTGTCAGGGGCTGGAGGGATGGGGTTATGGGGCATTCCTTCATAATGGGTACAGAATTTCAGTTTTGCAAGATGAACAGCACTTTGGAGATGGATGGTGGTGATGGCTGTACAATATAAATGTACTTATACCACTGAACTATATATTAAAAATGTTTAAGACAGTCAATTTTAAGATTATGTCTATTTTATTGCAATAAAAAAATAATTTATATGGGGGGGGCAATGATAAGACGCCCCACCATCATCCTTCGATTGTAATAAATGTGGCCTCCAGATCCGGCATCTCAACAGACATACGCCTCACACACTCCCAATAACCAGCCATCCTCACTTCTATGTGGGGCTGGCAACTGGCTGCCATGGGAGAAACATCTGAGGAGTAAAGGCCGTGTATACCCGGGCTGTAACCCAAACCAACTGAATCAGACTGAGGGAGGTGGATACACCTGTCTGGTTTAAAAAACTTTCCAAGTAACCTAATGAGTCTGATCTAAACCAGCATGGGGCAGAGAGTGGGTCAGAATGTGTTTTGCTAACAGGTGAGCAGATGTGCCTGGCTCACCTTTAGGTGACTCCCCTCAACTCAGAGGCACTTTTTCATTTTGTTTTCAATTATCATTCCAAAAACACAACATCACCTTCCCTAATCGTGGCAAAACCCATTTAGCTAGAATCACCTTTAGTGGAGGAAGCTGAGCCAATAACCACTTGGCATCACAAAGCACAAGTCAGTTCAAAGTGCTGCCAGGATGCCACGGATAGGCTTCTACCAAATCGTGCGACTTCAACAAAGAGGGACCAGCCCAGAGATGTCCAAAGGCCCCAAGCCAAGAATAAATTCAGCATCATTATGTGCCTGGATTCTTTAAATAGATTTCCTTGAACGTAAGGAATGAAGCGATTTCCGGTTGCAGGGACTGGTCACAGTCCTGGTGCTGCCATCCATGTATTAGACAACAACCTCGGACAGATAACTATAAACATGGGAGGAGGAAAGGGACCCACTGCTAAGCAGGGGCCAGTCCAGGTGCTGAGCACTAGCCAAGAGGAAAGCCCAGCTTTCTCTGAAGGACCCGGACGCTAGACAGCCTCAGACGGAAAGTTTGGATTTTAGCAAATCTTCCCGTGGTGTTTAAACATTAACTGCTAAAGCAAAAGCCAGACTTTTCAACGAGAATGACTTCCTGAGTAGGAAACTAAAATAAGCTGAGCTTTCCTCAGACTCCGGATAATAATAAACTGTGCACCTTCAGAGATGCCCACGAAGACCAATGCGGTGCAACAAAGGCCGCTTTTTCCAAAGAATCACATTCCATTCTCCTGGCATCTCTACTACGAATGCCATGAGCACCCCGGAACTAACTGTGAGGGCCACATGTGTGCCAGAATCTGGGCCCGGTTGACGTTTGATTGACGGAAAGTGGCTTTGGCAAGGCCAAAATTGGAAGATGGGGTGGAGGTCAGGCCATGGTGTGGTGTTCAAAGGCAGCACCCAGGGCACAGAGCTGGGGCAGCCTAGGCACACCCGTAGAGGCCTAAGGCCTGAAAAGGGTGCCAGTGGTGCCGAAAGTAAATACTGAACTCACAAAACTGGGAAGCCAGGCCTGAGCACCGGGGCGGGAGCCCCTGGCCTTCCGACGGTGACTATCAGCGGTGTTGGCATCACATGGTGGCCAGGTGGCCTGGTTTAGCCAGGACTGTCCTGCAAGTCCCACTCCCGGGAAACCTGGTCAAATCAGGATGGCTGTGCCCCCTAGTGGTCAGCCTGGGTTTTATGAAGAAGAAGGGGCACATATCACAGTAGAACACAAGACGTGGTCTGAAGCCTGCTATACGGCAAAAGCCAAGGCTACAGGCAAAAGCCAAGGCCGCAGTCCCTGTAAACCCGCTCCCCACCAACAGCTCCCCTTAACCAGCAGCAGAAGTTTGGTTTCGTTCCCCAACAGGATCAAGTGCTGCCGACGACGGCCCGCCAATCTGGAAGTTCACACCAACTCGGCTGGGCGCTGGCCAAGGGGATGTAAACAAACAGATCTGGTCTCTGTCCTGTAGCACTGTGCGCAAAACTCCCCCTAACTGGTCTGGGCACAGAGGTGCTCACTATCTCTCCAACCTCACACTAACTCAACGAACAGAGCTGGCAGAAGCACGGAAATGGCAATCTGCCAATCCCGCTAAGTGAAAAACAGGGGAGAAGGAAAAGCACAACTACGGTTTCGAAAGATTCCAAACATTCTCTTGCATAAAAGACACACAGAGGACAGGGGGAAAGCGGCCAGCTGGGAGGACGCCCAGAGCTCACCCCTGGCCTCTGCATCTCGGCCCTTGCTTTGTGGGGTAAGTCAGGGACAAGCCAGGGAGACTCGCTCTCTTCATTATACCTTTTTTGATGGAACGAATTTAGATTAACAGGAGTTAAAACTTTTAGCTGCCCCCAGTACTCAGAAGACAGACAAGTCAATCACTCAAGTCCTCTCCTGGGGCCTGATGGCTCCAGGACAGGCTCAGCTCACCTACCTCAATTTCAGCTGGTGCGGGCTCCTTGCTGAAGCACATGTTCATGATGTTTCTTGCTGTTCGATAAAAAGTTGTTAAAGAAACAGACCTTCCCTGGAAAGGAAACAAAAACAGGAGAGTCCAGCTAAGCAACAAAGCTGAGCCCTAACCCCACATCGGGCCACCCTGCCATGGGTGCGTCCCCACAGCCGTGGGCCAGTCTGTGTCCCGAGTTAATACAAGTAGAGAAAGCAGGAAAACACTAAGGCTCCTCAGTGCCAACAAAGGGAGCTGGAGGGCACACCGCCATCACAGCACCAGGAGCAAACGGATCTGGCATCTGGTGGAAACAGGCTGAGACCAGGAAGCCACAGCAAAAGCACATTTGAACCTAGACGTACACTTCCAGGGTACTCTGTTTAAAGAACAGCTTTCACTTTCTGGAGAAATGGGTACAATGGGGAAAGAGGGGCAGAATTCCTCAGTTTACCCATGAGGGGGAAGATAAAGGTTGTGGGCCAGTGAAGACACTGACAGCATCGAGGCTGGGACTGGCTGGATCGTGACTAGGCTCCCAAGAAAGAAGCCTGAAGGATTCTGAGACAAACTTAGGGTGACTTCTGTGCCCCAAAGGTCTTTGTCACGTGAAAACTGGCCAGAAGAGCAACCTCACCTCGCGGATCTGAGGGAACGGAAGTAACCCAATTGCTCTTACCACAGAAGCCACTTGCTGTCGCTGTCCCTGCTTGTTGTACCTCCTCCCCAGGGAGGGCAAGTAACACCTTTATTTATTTTTAATTTTTTATTTTTCAATGAGATTTGACACCTTGAGACATCAAACATTGTCCCCTATCTTGCCCTTTTCCCAGTAACCTTCAAAATGACCTCCTTTTATCAAACAGCTCACTGTTCTAGTTTGGGATTCCCAGGTTAGAGCCTATTTTTAACCTATACAGCAGAATGTGTTGTTTTGCAGAGACAAACTTGTAAGATTCATGCCTTTCACTCTTTTTGACTACACGCATTTATCCCTTGATTGAAGGAATATGTCCTGAGTACCTATTGTACATTAGGCCTAGTTCAAGGGGATGCAGACTGAAACCGACACACTCTCTGGCCCTGTGGGGCTTACGTCCTGCCTGGGGAATACAGCCTTTAAACAAATAAGAGCTGTGAGGAGGGACTAAGTGCAGAGTGACAGGAGTGGCAAGGAAGGGTGGCTTTTACCTGAAGGTTTCCCTAATGAGGTGACACTGAAACAGCCTCATAAAAAGTAACAGCTCTGGAGTGTGTGGCACATTCTTGTTGCCTTTGGAAGAACAGTCAAAGCAGTCAATGTGAAGATTTTGGCACCTGCTTTTGCATTTCAGCTATAATATAAGGGACTCCATGGGGTTCTAACTCAAAGAAAATACTCCTGTACAATTCCAAACTTCTGCTGACATTCTGTTCATTACAAAATAAAAACTTAATGACTAGAGGGACCTAATTTTGCACTAAGGCAGAGTGCCCATAATTTGAGAAGGTGACACCCAGCAGCCAACAGTCAATGGCCCCAGGATGCCAAGGGGCCTGGAGAATCATGAGCTCCAATCTCGCCGCGTGCACACAGCTGCCACTGAGCATCACCACGGCCCTTGGACTCTGAGAGTTTCACGATGAACTCTAAAAATACTCTTTGCAAAGCATGTTTTCAAAAAACTTCTTGCTTGGATCCAACTTGCTCTCATAAAATCGGTTTTCTTAAATAAAAAGTAACAAAAGCTGAAAATATTTCATTTCATGAGTTGGCTATTCAGAGCCACAGGATTTAATGTGTGGCTTTGATTGAGGAGGGCTTCTCAGGCAAACACTGAGGAAACACACGTCAAAGTACTCCTGCATTTATAGTCCACGGGCTGCCCTCTCCCTTTTCATACAATATTTAAAATGTGAAATGGAAGGAAGGTCATCGGCTGGCTGCAGGGAGCCATTCCCCACCCTTGTCGTCTCTGCAAAGCATCACGGGAAGATAACAGCGGGGACACTGAGCCCTTTCTGGGTCTAATAGTAGAAACAGTTCTAGGCAAGCAGGAGTGCAAAGGCTAACTACTAACAGAAAAATAAGAAGTATGATGGACAGCAGCTAAAGGTATGACTACCGAGCACAGACTCAAAGGGGAGAGGCAAAACAGAGACGCTCCCTACGTGTCTGTGATGGATCAGGTATCAGAAGTCCATATTGATTTAACCAGGCAGGCACAAGCCAGGGCCTGCCTCCAGGCAGCAGTGGGAACCCAGGGAGTGTGGCTGTGTGTGGCGATAACCCACAGCAGATTCCCAGTGTAGCAGAAACTCATTGACCCCCAGACGACTGCTAGGCTCACTGAGGTGGGAGCATGGCTGCTGGGCGAGGGCCGACAGGACCCCGCTGCAAGAGCAATCCCTTCCTGTTAAATCCAGACCTAGGACCTCCAGGAGCCAGCCCATGTACCTCTCAAAGCCTGGGCAGCCCAGTAGAGGCCTCTCTTAGCTCCACCAGGGTGCCCAACTCACCCTGGCAGGCGGGGGAGGGAGGCGGCCCTAAATCTGGCTTTAGAACCTGCTAAACAGGAGGCGGCAGTCTCCACTGCTAAGCCGAGGCAGGCGGGCTGCCAAGCAGAGTCCCCAAGACTCTGCCTCACTTCTCAGAGGAGTGAGTCTTCGCCTGATGGCTGGTGCTGCAACAAGATCTGGCAGAGCTGGGAAAACACGGTGCACATTTCATTTCGCCGTGTTCTCCCTGCCTCCTCCTCCTCCCTCCATGAGTTTTTAACAGTGAGATGTGTGGGGATAGCTCTGTCAAGACCTCTCGCCATGAAAAGACCTGGCCAAACTGAGCTGGGGGGCAGTAGGCTATTCAGAAAACAAACAAGGAGGCAAAGAAAACTAGAGCTCCAGCCCACAGAGGGTTGGCTCCTTCTATGTCCAAGATCCCCCAGCCCAGACTGGGCAGCTCCTGTTCTCCAGGCCGAAATAGGGGTGGCTCAAAGGCACATGTAGGCACACACTCAGCTCATCTGACAAAAAAGGAAATCCAAGCCCTGGAGACGGCAAGCGACTCATTCCATGCTCACAGCTTGTAAGAGAGAGAAAGGGCCAGCCACAGCTGGCCAGACGCCCCAAGGCCTGTGTGTCCTGACTACCCATCCTCTCTGCAGACTGCAGACATTTCCCAGAGAAAGAGATCTGGTGGCTCTAGGACCCCCAGATCCCAGCATGGCAGCCAGCCCCTTTTTAGCTCCATCAGGCATCTGAGGGCCTCACTCCACACTCCCAGCCCCATCGGACAGGGGCCCGGCCATACCTTATATATACACTTATGGAAGTCGCTAAGGACGCCTTTGTCCTCTTCCTCTTCTTTCACTACTTCCTTTTCCTGAGCAAAGAGTCGCCGCCGGCCTGTCTTGAGCTGGGCCTGGCCCACCTCTTTGAGCTTGCTTCGGAAGCCGTTCCTGTGGGCCACGCCATTGATGAGCCCGTTCTTGGGCTCGAAGCGGGGCAGGGAGTGGAACTTGTTGTAGTCATGCTCCGTGTGGCCCTCCAGGGGCCCCTTCCGCTTCTCCAGGCTCTCCTTCTCCATCAGCACCTCTTTCTCCAGCCGCCGGTGCTCCTCAGGGGACAGGGAGTCGTAGGACAGCAAGTACTGGCAGTAGGCCTCCTGGAGCTTGGCCAGCCGGTCCTGGGCAGTCTTGGGGATGCGCAGCATGTCTGCTAGTTTGTTCCATTTTTTGAGGTCAGTCACTTGCTGCATGCCGCCCATCTCATTAATCAGCCGGAAAAAGCAGGCCAGGTCGAGCTCACAGCCTCCTGGGATGGAGAGAGGAGAAAACACAGGGACGATTGGTGAAAAGGACCATGAACGAGACCTCCTTCTCAAGTGGTAGTCCATGGATGCCCATATGTGCCAGGACACCACCAGGCTCTGGGGTCGGGACAGCAAACAATCATTTCTGGCCCTCAGGGAACTCAGTCCACGAGAATGGGTGTTAAGACAATTTGGGGCACTACAGGGATAAATAAAGCCGATTGAGGCTGGGGAATTATGGAGACTACTGTCTTCAGAGGGATGGTAAGGAAAGGAGGTGATAAGCAGAGGCCTGAACAGTCGATCTGGCTGTGCAGATCCATGTGAATAACGTTCCAGCACTCCATCAGACAGGGGCAGCATGCACTGGTGCACACCCTCCTAACACAACCAAGGAAGCAGATTAACAAGACAAGGAGCAGGGGCCCATCCCTGGTGAGGGGAGGGTAGGGCCTAGGTTGTGCCACTCAGCCGTACCCATGGCCCAGCATCAGAACCGCTGTGATGTCAGAAACTGTATACATGCAGCATGTGTCATCAATCCTATTTCCCCTCGTAACACTCCCTACACACGTGTACTTGAGGTTGTTGATTTTCAATCCCACTTGATTTCCAGGATGACAGGCAACATTCACACGAGGGCACCCAGAAGTCTGTCTGTCCATCATGCATTCACAGAGAAACTGCTTATCTCAGGAGGATGCAGAAGCTAGTTTCTACTACAGCCCTTGATCAAGTTACAGAATCATACAAATGTACATCCACTCAAACATGCTGGAATGCCCACACAGTGACTATCTACAGCTAGATGGGACCTAGAAAAGCAACCTCCCTCAGGCCAATAAAGGGAGGGAAATCTTCCAGAATAATCAGCCACTGGCTATTAGGAGGTAAATGCACAATGAAATGCCAGGTGAGCAAAGTAAAAAGCAAGGAAGTTTTAGGTCTTTGGAGGGTAGGAATAGATTTAAATCCACTAATAAAAGAAAAAGCAGCAAGACTCCCACCAGACTGACAGCCTGAGAATGGCATCAGGGCCAATAGTGGGCTGGGCATCGTGGGACTGCCAGATGTGAGCCTGGACTACCTCGAGCTGACTGTGAGTAAGACCAGGGCATCGATGGGTGTGCAGCAGACTGAATGCCATTTACTCAGCTTGGTGGGATGGATTTGGCTGTTTTTGTGGATAATGGAGCAAACTCAGTGAGGAGACTTGCCCCGACATCAACCAGAATCCGGGCCTCACTCTGGTCTCTCTCCATCAGAAAACCTTCTGAGGCTGGCAGCACACTACCAGACTTGCAGAGGTGGAGAGTGAATGAAGCAAGTTATCCCAACACGCTACATTGGCTCAGATCACAGGTCTCACTTGAGGGGAAGCCAGCTAACATTTCTGCATTTTTTTCTCTAAGTTCTTGCAAATTTATTATTTCATAGCCTCAACTGCCATGTTCGGCCCATTCACTGGGCCAGCAGGCTGCTAATTGGCAAAGTGCCTCCCTCACTGGAGTCCATGCTGACCCCACCCTCTGAAGCACAGCAGCGCCCCAAGGGGCTGTGTTTGGTGGATTCTGGGAAACTGCTTCAAAACTACTAAGGTTCCTTGTACTTTGAGACAACTGAAATCAGACCCTGGGCCGAGGGCCTCTATCAGCAGCGAGCCAGGTCAGCACCCCTTTTACAGACAGTGACAATGCTTTATGCTTCCAGGCAATGGCAGGAGCATGAACACACACACCACACTGATGCTTCTACAAGGCTTCTGCTGCTACGGGAAGGAGAAGGTTAAAGAAATCCTACTCTGAACAAAAAGGTTGCTGGCTGTCATCATGACATCACCTGAGTACTCCACCTGTCCCTAAAAGACCCACCGCTACCCTCGCTGGGGGAGGAAGGAGCAGACTTGGGACCTCTCTCTACAGCCAGGAGGGCTCAGTGCTGTTCTGAGTCACCCAATGGCCTGACTACACACAGGGCACAGCAAACACAAGCTCCCGAGACACTCTCGCCATCTCGGTCTATTCCCATAGCCCCACGTCTCTGTCTATCACGTGCCATCCCTGACAGGGGACCACAAACCATGAATTCTTTCAAATTAAGTGATTCTCACTCAGGCATTAGCCCTGGCAGGCACCTGCGGAGAGGGATAATGAAACCTCCATCTCACGAGGAACCCCATCTTACTGCCAATTCTTGACACTTAAATGACTGTTAAATGTCTCCTTTCCTCCCAGCCTTTGAAAAATCAGGATCTCCAAAACAGAGGCAGGAAGGCACCCTGTTTCTTCTCATGGGTCTAGAGCTGAAAGGGAAGCGAATGACCTTATCCAGCTGCCTCAAAAGGAAAACCCACACTGCAGAACCCTCAACCCTGACAGGGCAAGCTCACCCTAGAGGTGCAAGATACAGGCAAGAAGCGGGACCAAGGAGCTCCAGAGGACCTGTGAGTGGCTCTGCTGGAGGCCCAGTGTCTCAAGGCTGGGACATGCGTTCACCAGGAGCAGCCGAGGCGAGCCTGGCAATGGTCCCAGCCAGAGCTGTGCTTGTTCTTGGGAGAAATTTAAACATGTTTCTTGACCTGTGGGCCCCATGAGGGCCAAGATAGTCACCAAAGAAACAGAAGCGCAAGTAAAAACCAAAGAGACTGAAGACACATAGATCAGGCAGAAGAAGAAATGGGCTGAGGTCTGCAAGAGCTTGTGGGCTGAAATGTGTCCCCCAAGTATTTACATGAATCTTAACCCCTACTACCTCAGAATGTGACCTTATTTGGAGATGGGGTCTTTAAAGAGGCAAGTTAAAATGCAGTGAGTCCTATCCCATTTGACTGTTGTCCTTTTAACAAAAGGAAGAGACACCAGGAGCATGTACACACAGAGGATCGGCCAAGAGAGGACACGGTGAAGGCAGCCATCTACAAGCCAAGGAGAAGCCTCAGAAGAAACCATTCCTGCCAGCCACTCTGACCTCGAACTTCCAACCTCCAGGACTGTGAGACGATAACTTCCTGCTGTTTGAGCTCCATTCCGTGGCACCTTGTTAAGGTGGCCCAACAGACTGCTCCATAGGAGCAGCCATCCCCATCTCCCTGAACACTGCCCTGGCCTCTGTGGGGAGGCCCTGCAGTCACAGGCAGTAGGGGACAGCCCAATGGGAAAAGCAAGTGCCATGATACCAACCCTTCCTCTGCACAAATGCCCAGGACCTGTAGAGAAGGGGTTTCGGCCTCCTCCTGAGCAGCGACTGAGCCCAGAGGAGCACACCCTCCCATGAAAGGGGAGAAGCTGGAACCACAGGATGTGGTAGTGGGCGGGGGGAACCTCACCTATGAGCGGGAGCTCGTCCATGGTGATGCCCTGAGATCTGAGGTGCTTCTTGATGCAGGCCAGCCGCTGCACATTGGGGCCCCAGCGCCGGCCCAGCTTGTGGACGTGCTGGATCTGCGTGACGAACCGCATCTCGTCGTTGAGCTTGCACTCGGGCCGCCAGTCTGGGGGCGGGATGACCCTGCACATGCCGTACTTCTCCACCTGAGCACGCACCGACTCGATGTAGACGAGCGGGTCGTGGAACTCCTTGGCCGACGGCCTGAGCACAGGGATCTCGTCCATGGCCGCCCACCCGGCCCGGCCGGCCCCCTTCTCGGGCTTGGCCGCTGCCTCGTGCGGCTTGTGCAAGGGCTCTGATTGCGAGGTAGAACGATTTTCACAGGAGGCGCTGTCCGCCTTGCCGTGTGCTTGTCTGCCCGGCGTGTTCCTCCCGGCCGCGGCCCGCTTTGGCCGGTTCCTCTCCAAGCTCCGCTCGGGCACTTCCTTTCTCATGTGTCCATTCAGCAGAGCCCTCTCCGCCGGGGCCGGGGCCGGGGCCGGGGCCGCCGACACCTTCCTGCCAGGGGCTTCGGCAGAGACGGCCGCCCCTTTCATCTTCTTGGCGGGTGACTGCGGCTTTTCCGCCTGGTGTGCCTCTTCCAGTCTCCTCTTGGAATTCCGCAGCCCCTCCCGCAGCTGCCACCCCCCCACCTCCTTAGTGCATGACTTTGGGTTCAACCTGCCACTGACCTTGAGGCCATTGACGGCGGGCCCGGTGGACTTGGACGCCCCCCCGAGGGATAGCACCTGTTTGCGGGTTTTTGCATTGCTACTTTCAGTTTTCCCTGAGATTGTGTGGTTGACAGCTGAACTGGGCTTGTGGTGATTGGGTTTGGTTTCCTTGACCAGTTCTCTCTTGGCTTTGGTGTATGTGACAGTCCCCTTAGTCACCGTAGCAGTGTACTTCACAGTTTTGGACGGTGAAGGTCTGACTTCGCGCATCTTTTTGGCACTGGTTGCACTTGTACCCAGAGATGACATTCGAGTGACTCCATTTACCTTCGAAACCTGGGAGGCAGCAGGAGAAGCAGAGGGGAGAAAAAGCAGAATTAGTATCTGCCCAGAAGGCGACCTCCACACGCTGGTAACTACATAGAGGAGAAGAAACATGGGCTACTGACAAGGCAAACAAAATACATGCTCAGCTTCACAATCTCTGCATGATTCTACGTCCATCCTTCTGCACAAAACTACGCAGCCGGACTGGGTGCCGTCCAGTGGGGCTTCCTGGCGTGTTTTACATGCATGTTTGTCCCCATGGCTCTTCTGGGAAATCAGGCGTTTCATAACAAGGACCTCGGCACATGCCCGCCAATCACCTGTCACAGGTTAATAACATTTACGAGAGCAAGAGCCTGTCCATTTGGGGTACAGGGGAATGCGTACGGTTGACCCATGAACAACATGGGGGTTAGGGGCACTGAACTCTCCCAAAAATACCGTTTTGATCCATGTTTAGTTGAGCCCACTGCATATTTATTGAAAAATAAATAAAAACCTACATGTAAGTGGACTCATGTAGTTCAAATCCATGTTCAAGGGTCAACTGTACACACACACACACACACACACACACACCTCCTGTTCCAAGAAAAGACATGTTTGCTATTTTCTGTGCGCTTCCCATGACTGCATGATCTGCCCAGAGAATTCTAAAATCTATGTGCTAAGAAAAGAATGAAACAAAAACACTATGGAAAGAACAAGAGCACTCGTGTGGTTCTGCTCCAATGCAAGTTATAGGCCGAGCCCGGAGTTGTGTCTGCCAAGTGTCCGCATATTTGAGTCTGGGCCCCATGAGCACCTTGCTGGATGTCTGGTGGATGCAGCTCGCCTCTTTGGTGAAGCACAACAAGCTCAAGCCTCTTCTGCACAGGCAGTTCCCATTTTCCCACCCTCAACAAATTTTCATATTCGGTTTGACGGAAACTGGGTAAATAAACAGCCTCTTCAAGGGCTGCCCTACAGCTTGGACACCACGGGAATTCTGTGACACATAAAAGCCACCCTCGTTTATAAAGAGAAACAAGAGTGACATGGGTGGACACCAGGAATGCATTAAGTTCCGAAGAATAATGAAGGGTCCACCATAGGAGCTGGTGCGAGACTGGCCGCTTTGGGGTGGATGGACATCAAAACACAACTCTGCCCCTCAGCAGCCTTTGACACATCATTTCACACCTTGGGCCCCAAGTTCTCATCTGCAACATGAGTTAAAATACAGAAAGTCCAGGGTTCCATAACACTACTACCTCTAAGAGACAGACTAAAAATTACACAGAGCAGAAACAATAGCCCTCTTTTCTCACCAATAACCCCCGAGAAGAAGGTGAGAGGGTAGAGGGAGCCTGCACTCCCAACTCAGAAAGGCTGACCAGCTGAGAACTAAAGCAGTGTGCTCCTCCCAATACCCAGTGCCACCAAAACTGTTCAGCTGCATCACCTAGAGGACAGGCCCTGAGTCTTAAGCGACCACTGCACTATGTCCAGGAATACACAGTTAGCTTAAGTGCTGAAAAAAGAAAATGAAAAACAAAAATTAGACTTTCCCACAGGTATCCTAACCAGTGGTTCTAAGAACCCTGAGGGCTTTGTCAAAGGAGATCACTAGGCCCCATCCCCACAACTTTTTATCCAGTAGGTCTGGGATGAGTCTGAGAATTTGAATTTTAACGAGGTCTCAGGTGATGCTGAGGCTGATCCAGGGACATACTTTGAGAATCACTGAAGCAAACTATCAGAAAATTCTGAACACACAAAAAAGAAAGAAGCCACTGATATCCCTCTATTTATTTATATGCCACCAATTATACACAGTCTAATCAAAGCCATAAATTCTTGGTACGAGACTGTGCTCCATGAGCCAACCCCGGGTGTTTAATGAACCAGGTCTCCGGTGAGCTGGCCTCTATTTCTAAACTCAGTGTGGTCCTAAGCCCCATTGAAGGCTGATGGGAAGGTCCAGGAACTATAGTTTGAATCCTCCCCTGCTCATCACCCTATAAAGAAGCAGGACTAACAGGATCAAGTGAGGAAGAGAGGAGACTAAAACGAAGACTGGGAAATTAAAAACAAAAAAAACTTGCAACCTGGTGACAATAAATTAAAAACAAATTTATAAAACCAGGGATAAGGACAAAGACAAATTTTCTAAGGTAAGTACCACTAATTTAGAATAGGAGGTAAGGTGAGGAATGAAAATACCTCTAATTTTTAACTTCCATTGACTAAAAACAAAACGAAACATTTAGAAAAACAAAAGCAAAGAGTAATTCTGCTGTGGCTCACAGAGAACTTTTTACACCATTAAGACACTAGATGGGCCTTGGGGATCCAGTGTCTTCAGAGTAGGGCTCCAATTTCCAGAAAGTGGAAGTCAACTCTTCTTTGGGCCCTTCATCTTTGGTTCCAACTTTTCACCCAGTTCACACTCAAGCAGACTACACAGCACACTTTAATCTCTTCTAAAGATAAGGAATCAGCTATGAAAATGGCCAACATTTTATAGCGCTGGATGCCATCTCCTACCAACAGTTAGTTCAGCTGTCAGTCATTACATCTTGCAGAGGTTTGGGTTCAGTGCTTCTAAAACTTGGGCCCCTGAGAATCCCTGGGGGAACCTAAAAGAAATGCTGATTCCATAGTCTACTCCCAACCCCATTCTGACCTAATCAGTGAGGAGACAGAAAGTGTTTACAAGCCCACATGGATGGTCAGTGTTCCCACACACATTTTGGCCCAACATGACTGTCCACTTGTAGGAAACTGGGAGCCAGAGTTCCACATCTCTCAAATTCCATCACAAAAAAAAGAATGAAGGGCCCTTGTGTCTATCTATTCTGGCTTCTCAGGGCCACCTGACCTCCAACTGGCTAGGTTATAGGGAGGTAAGTTTTCTGCATGGTGGAATTCTATACAGGTATTTCACCACCTTCAATGACAAAAAGAGCACCTTCTTGTTTACTTAAAAATGGCTTACTGCCAAGATGTACGGCCAACTACCTTGCTCTATCAGAAGCATAAGTTCTTTTATTCATTTTCTTCTTCACTGTGGTTAACAGTTATCTTCAAAAGTGTCCACCCAGACCACTGGGAGTTGTCTGAGGTCTGGCTGAACAGAAGCCATACAACTGGGAACATACATAAGAGGTTTCCTCAAGGGGCGGAGACAGGAAATGGCCCGGTCCCACAACCATGTGTGGCAGTCAAGAATCAGGAGGGTTATCACGGCTGCAGTGCCCCCTGCCCTCCCAGAGGAGTGAGGGATCCCGGCTCCGCACTGGGATCCCTAGCTCAGGGTTCCAGTGGCAGGAAGAGAAGTCTCCACCACCTCTGGCTGTGGGAAACCAGCAAAGATTGTGGCTGAGTGAGACAGAGGGCTACGGGAGTCACAGACTTACTCACTGATGGACTCACTTGCTCTGAGCTCCGGCACTGGGGCAGCTGCTCAAGGAATGCTAGGGACATACAGGGAGACTGAGTTGTCAGGCTTCAGGGTGAGGGCTGCATGCGTGGCTTTCTCCTGGACACAAGTGCTGGCAGAGTCCATTGTTCTTTGGTTGAGCCTTCCCCTGCCCCATCATGCAGACACAGGCAGCTGCCATATCTGAGTCTGCATCAACCTGGCTAACACTGGCCTCTCCACCCAGGTAACTCCGCCTCTCCCAAATTGCAGGCCCATCCAAGGTGTTTTTTTCCCATACAAATGGCCTATCTTGGCTCATGCTGCAGATTTTCCTAAAATCTCTCAAAGGCTCACAAAACCCAAAGCAGCAGCATCTGGCCTTGGCGTGTCCCTTACCTCTTGCTGAGCAGCACCCAGCCCGCAAGCCCAGCACTAGAAGCAACTGGCCTCAGTCTCTAGCTTGGACTCTAGAGGCATCTATAAGCTCAGCATGGGTGGCAGCCATCTGCAGATTGCTTGGTGACTCTTACCAGGTGGCCCTGGAGGAAGTACACAGGCTGCGGCTAAACTTGGCCTGCAACTGGGCCCCTCCCAGGAGTCCTCTACACTGGCACACCCAGTGACCTGCTTCAACCTGCAGGGAGCCAGAGCCAGAGCACCTCCCAGGGCTGCATCTGAAAAGGACGTCCCCAAAAGGCAGACTGGGCAGGCACCAGAGCCCTCTTAAAGTGAACACTGCTCCGTAGAGTTAGCCCTCACAGGCCCATCCCCACAACCAATCAGCCCAAGAGTCAATCCCTGCCATCAAAATGCAAACAGCAACCAAGGTTCAAATACATCAGGAGAGCACACGCAACGCACACAAGGAACACACCTCACTCAGGTGACTAGGGAAGACTGTTCCACTGGGCCCTATAGGACACCTACTAGATAAGCCCACTCCACTAAGACCAGAGACTTAGGAGTCCTACCTAATACACAGAAACAAACACTGGGAAGCAGCCAAAATGGGGAGACAAAGAAACATGTCCCACGTGAAAGGATAGAACAAAGCTCCAGAAAAAAAAATAAACAAAGTGGAGGACAAGCAATCCACTAGATACGGAGTTCAAAACACTCATTATAAAAGGATGCTCAATAAACTTAGGGGAAGAATAGATGAACTCAGTGAGAACTTTAACACAGAGATAGAAAACAAAAATTAGAGATGGAAAACAATAAGGAAACGATCAGAAATGAAGAATACAATATCTGAGATAAAGAGTACATTAGAGGAAATCAACAGACTGGATGAAGCAGAGGATTAGGATGGGGTAGCGGAAGACACCCAATCGGAACAGCAACAGAAAAAAGAATGCATAGAAACGAGAACAGTTCAAGAGACCTCTGAGACAACATCAAGTGTAACAACATTTGCACCATAGGGGTACCGGAAGGAGAAGAGAGAGAGCAAGAAATTTAAAACCTATTTCAAGAAATAATGACTGAAAACTTCCTTAACCTGGTGAAGGAAAGAGACATACAAGCCTAGGAAACCCAGAAAGTCCCAAACAAGATGAACCCAGAGGGGCCCACACCAAGACATATCAAATATCAAAGGTTA